TGGCTGCTTCTGCAGTTTACATTGGCAGCTGACTCCATCTTGGCAGCAGCAGAGGTGGAGCATACTGTGGTAGGGTGGTGGCATGGACTAGATAGCCATGCTGTAACGGTGAGACAAGCTACTGGGGGGGTGGGAAATGTAGTTAGGACAGCAGGCTGACCGAGGCCACGCGTTCTGGGAGGTGACAGAAGAAATGCAAATTCAGCACTCGGCATCTTCAGGTTGCCCTAACAAGAAAGGTCACTAGGTTCCGGTTACTGAAAATCCAGTTAGTTTGAAGTGCGGAGCAGTTTGAGAGAGGTTCAGAGACAGGTGATGAATATGATTAGAAGCATGATGAGACTTTTTTGTCTGAGGATGGAGTGAAAATATTGGGACTAGTTAGAGGTGGCTAACAAGACGGGGCATCATGGAAGCACATGGAATACTTGGTAAGTGGTATAAACCAAATGCTCATGTATTTTACTTTTTACTGACATAAGAACAAGTTGACTCTTAATCAACCAGTCTGCTTTTTGGGTTCAAGTCTCAGAATAACTCATGGAATTTTCTTCTTTTTAAGATCCTGTTAATGGTATAGGATTAAAAGAAAAAATCACTTTGCATACGTGGTCACATCATTGCTGTGACCAGGGATGGGGGATAATGCCAATGGTGTTGACTTAGTTTGCGGTAGTACGCATATTTGTCCTTTTATCACAACTTTTTATCTTCAGTAGTTGCCTAGGGCTGAAGGTAGTTGATACTTTTCTGAAAGCCAGTGGGTTTCAGCTCATGCTCATCTAATTAATTTTCTGTTCAAGTGCAAGGTATGTAATGACAGTGTTAAAGTGATGTAGCTGTGATGATCCAGAAATTACGCGAGAGGCAAGGATTTCGTAGGTTGATATCTTTTTATTGGACCATGTACTTGGGATAAAGTTAGACAAACTTTTTTGAATTCAAGACATTCTTCCTTGGGCGTTCCTGAGGAAGAATGTCTTGCATTCAAAAACTTATATGTATGTACTACACTAATGATGCATCTAAATCATACAAACTTTTTCTCAGCTACGTAGTTGGTCCAATAAAAGCTATTGCCCTAAGAAATCCTTGCCTAGTGCATGTATGTCATGGACAGATGTGCAGCTATCCTGGAATACGCAGGCTGTTGCTGTTGCGCTCCATATTATTCTATGAGCAAATAGCTTTCTCAGGATTAGCTGTGGACAGACTGTCCGAAAACACTGCCGAACCCTGGTGTAGAGTGCCAAAAGCGCCCTTAGCATCAACTAGTAAGATGTTGGCATGCCAGGGATGGATGGTGGGGGAGCTGTGAAGGACCCAAGCCTTGTTGTGGCAGTGCAGGCCCAGCACCTTCCCCACCGTCCACCCCAAGGCTTGTGTGCATTTGCTGCTGGCCATGAGCCAGGTCGGGGCTCTGCAAACTGGTGCAGCTGCCTGCAGCCTCCCAGCTGCCTGACATGGCCAGCCTGGGCCTGCCACCCACCACGGAGTCCACACTCTGGCATGCGTCCCAGGGGCTGCCAGCCCTTGGACTACAGCAACGCAAGCGTAACTTATACCATGGGGTTTTATTCTGTTTCCTGGAAGCGTAATTATCTGCTGGATCGTGCAATTATCACGGCTTAGGGAAGCAATTTAACAACCAAGGTGTCCTAGCACCCTGGGGTGCCCTGATCTTTTCATGGGTTACACGGAGTGCTATATATAAGGTTAGCACTGTTAGGTGTGCAAACACGATTTGCAAGATAAACTCAGAGATTGCAAATGAAAATTCAGTGTTAAAACTTTGTGCCTTATTATGGTTTTTCTGAGGCCTTTGCAACAGAATATTTTTCTGTCATAAAGAAATGAGTGAAAACTCAAAGTTAGCATTTGATGTTGGGTGCTTTGAGTACAAAAAGGTTGAAAACCACTGGTTTAGGGGTTTGTGTCTTCTACACTTTTACACTAATGTAAATGTGTCATCTTAAGATGAGTTTTGTATGATAGGAAATTTGAAGACTTATAAGATGAAAGCCATACCTGGACTTGCAGTTTACATAATTAGGATACACAGTTCTTGTTTCACCCTTCTCCTCCTTCCTCTCTTCTTTCTCTCTTTTCCCCCCCCCCCCCAAAAAAAAAATGCACCTCGCGGTTTTTGATTGCTTTGTGGGTTTTTTGCGGGGTAGGGGGGTTGTTTTTATGTTTGGTAGTAGTAAGAATTAAGAGTCTGGGTGGCTGTGTAGGTAGTTTAATCAAATGTGGTGTTGAATTTTCTCATACTATTTTTTTAAGAGGGTTTTTCCTTTCTCCCCCCCCAAGTGCTGGCTTGAAATGTCTAATTGAGTAAAAACCAGTATTCATTAACTCTAAACTCTACTTGATTGTTTGCATACTATATTGAACACGTCAACCAAACTGAGGCTTAAATTCTGAGAACATAACGCAGAGAAGTTTTTATATGCAAAACTTAAGGTTGGTACATAGTCACATTCTTACTAGCTCATTCTGTAACCCTTATGAAAATTCTCAGCGTGCGTGTGTACCATCATTCATTTCCTTTTCCTTAAATTTTAAAACATTAATATTAATCTTGGTCCAGATGGGTAATCGCCAGCTCCTGCTTAACTGCTGCTGAACTGTTTAGCAAGTGTTATCCCCCTCTTTTCTGTAGGGTGGTCTTGCAAAAACTTGCACATGCTCATGCCAAGGAACAAGAGGTAAGCAAATCAAACATGAAAAAAAATTATCTGCAAGTCCTGACATAATGATGTCAGAATCTAATGTCTTGACAGTCCTCGTCAGTTTTAAATTGGTGGGTGGTTAGTGAAGAAAACCTAACTAGCGAAAATACCATAGTTGTTCTAGATTTGGATCAAACACTCAAGTATGCCGATCTGATAACCCTGATTAACTCTGAACAGCAAAATTTGAATATGTGTATGCACACAAATAGAGAAAGGAGACTGACAACATTAAAGGGTTTTATTTCATGTTGTATATAATCTGTACTTTATTCATTCAAACCATGCATCCTCTTTAGCAGTAACTGAGGCAATAAGGATATTTCACCTTTTGATGCGTAGGTTAAATTTTAGAAGAGACGCTGGCAAAGATTTTCCTTCCTGTGAAGGAAGACAGGATGGTGTTTTGGTTTTGCACTCCTGTATAAACGGAGCAGCAGGGCTTTTAGGAAGCGTGCAAGTGTGTATCTTCTTTATAAATCTACCTACTTTATCCCCAGTTAAAATTGGGACTGGGTTGAGGTACTGAAAGGAAAAGCAGTGTTTTGCATTCCATCAATTTTGAGAACAGATTTCTTTGGAGATATAGTAAAAGTAATACATGCTATCATATAAGATCATATTTGCAGGATGTTCTTCTAGGTGACGGGTTTAGAGATAATCCGATATTAATTGTATTAATGGTAATACCTTACAAGTTTTAGGCAGGTTTAACTTGGGTCACGTACCCAAATAACCTCTGTCTATTAACAGTTATTTAAGAAGCTGATTAGTAGTGTGAAAAATACATTGGAATGTTTCAGATCTAATGCTTGTTAGTAATAGGAAATATTCAAAAAGATTACTTATTGCCAGACCATCCCTTGGAATAAACCTTCTTTTTTTTTCCTACTGTATTTGAATTTTGAGTGCATCCTTTAAATGAAAGCAAAACTTTGCTCATCTCCCTAGCTCTCCCAGTTAGACTGTGTCTCTGCATTGCAAAGCTTTCCAAGTGGAAAATACTGGCTGTGGTTACTTCACATATGACTAGGATCCCTATAAATATGCTTGTAAGCGTGTAATTCTACATTTCAGCATTGGGTAAAAGCAAGTGCAGTAGTTCTCCCTGGTGCTTCATTGAGTATAAAGTGGATAAATCTGACTTGTTAGCCGGGCATGGAAGAGCGCTCCTTTGATGGCAGAATGCTGAGGGATTATTGGTGACGTCAAGGTAGAATTGGGTTTGAAAGAGGAGAGGCTGCTTCAAGCCCCAATGTAGTATTTGGAAGAAGATAGACCAGGGCTGTCGAACTGGAGGCCCACGGGCCTTGAACAGCTGCACAGTGGCAAATTTGGACAACCCTGAGCTAGAAAAATAAATGTGTGATTTGGGAGGGGGCAATCTTGGAAGTACAGGGAATGAGAGGTGGGGTTAAAGGCAGTGATGGATTATAAAGTATGTTTCCTGAAACCTATTTAGATAGAGGGCAACTGATGACTGACATGCTTACAGACTGCCCCGTGTTTTTGGCCTTCAAAAAAAAAAAAAAAAATCTTTTAACTAGGCCCACCAGAGGTGCACGTTTTCTCAGAATTACTTGATCCATGAAAACCTTAAGCTGTTTTGATCTTTCGTACTGAAAAACGTAATTCTACATTAATTCTTTCCCTTGTTATTTCACTTACTGTGTCTTTCATATCCGGAGAATGCCTGGTCCCTTTTTGCCTGCTGTCTGTTTTGAATAGAGTATAAAGCAGGGGCGGGCAATTATTTTGGGCGGAGGGCCGCTTGCTGAGGTTTTTGTCAAACCATTGAGGGTCACATGATAGGCAGCCAGGGGCAGATAAATACTTATTTTCTAAAATTTTTTTTTTTTTTTAGGGGCCCTGTGGGCCGGCTGGAACGGCCTGGCGGACTTTATCCAGTCCGTAGGCTGCATTTTGCCCACCCCTGGTGTAAAGGCTGCTGTTACAGACTCTTTAATGTTATAAGAAGAGAGAGAAGTAATTGCGATAAACAAAATTACCGAAAGATTTACCCTTTTGGATAGTGAATCTAATCATCAGTGATCAATATATTTATATTAAGAACCATACTTTAAGAAAACTGTGCAGTGCTTAATGCAAGGTCAAAATAAAAACTAGACTTTTTAAGAACAATGCTTTATACCTCTGGCTGTATGCAAGAGGTCCTTGGGTATGAGCCCAGCTATTTCTGCATAATGAATTTTTAATACAACTAGAACTAAACTCGATTCTCTCTGTTCTGTTCCCCTTTCTCCCTAGTTTTACAGAAAAGCAGACATGATACACTGAAGGCCTTTGGAAATGCATGTTGGCAGTAAGATGGAAGTATAAATCTTGAGACTTAAAACCAGAAATGGCTCAAGAGTGTTGAGACGGGACGCAGAAGAGCCTCTGATGCTTGTCAGTGTAAGCAGTGGAAAAGGGACAACTACCATGGTAACACTAATAACGGAAAAGCTGCAGAACCAGAGCTTGGATGACCTGACGTGTAAAACATACAATATTAATCTGGTAAGGCTATCCTCAAATAGTGTTTCACTGTGTTGAAGTAAAGGATAGCAATATGCAGCCCTTACAGAAACAGACGCATCAAAATCAAGAATATAGAGCAGCCAGAAGGAACAAGTTTAAAATTATTTTTTGGAGAAGGGGCAAGTGGTTCCCGAGTGAAGCGTAGCATGTCTGACACAGGTACTCAAGCATAGTATTTTTAGACTTTTTTTATGGGAAGTGCATATTTGGAATTGGCACTATAAAAGGAGACGTGTATTGATTAGTCATTTTTGTTATTTAAGTGTGCTAAGAGTTCTACAAACTTCCCCTGCACACCATGAGTCTTGGTCATTTTCTTTAAAAACATTATCTAGCAGTTATAGAAGGTAGCTTAAGAAGCAGATATCTAGTTTTGACACCATTCACTTCCTGTGGGCAAAGTTGGTGGGTTGTTTTGTTTTGTTTTGTGGTCTTTTTTTTTTTTTTTTTTTTTTTTTTTGTTAGTGAATACTAGATTGGTGTGCGCACACCAAAAAAAAAAGAAAACAGACTAGTTTTTTAGCTTATGACTACAGATAGACTGGAAGTTGATGCTCCTGAATCTCAATTTTGTGTTCAAATAATAGACTGGTTACATTCAGTGCATAGGACAGGGAGGATTGATCATCTAATCAGCAGCTGTTTGACATCTGGTTTTATCATCACTGTTCAATCTTGGCCCCATTTCTTACTTGAATATGTCATTCAAACACTGCTCTGAAGATGGAATTAATTCCTCACGGGCTTTTCTGTGGCAATTGTCATTGCATTATCCCAGTGCTACACAAACAGTGCTTCATAACCCCTTTATGATATAAGGGGATTATGATAAAATGTCCACTTTAAGTTGACTAGAACCTTTCTGTCTAAGAATCATAGAAAATAGGAACATGGAGGGTTGTGATTAACTGGAAAGTGTTTTGAAGTTATCTAGTACCTTGCATTACATGGGACGGAAGCAGGGGCAACATCCCTTTATTCAGAATAACACTCAGCTGCCTTTTTCATGAGACTTCATCTTCTTTCATTTCGTTGCTTTGTTTGCCATCTTTCTTGGGATCCTGCATTTGTCTTTATTCCACAGCCTATGTTCAAACCATGTCAGTGCCATGTAATGAAAGAGGCGGCAGTTTCATAGGCAGCCTTAGTTTTTTGTGTTGTGACATTGGAGCTTGTCTTCAGGGTGGATGATTTAAATCAAGTCTACTTCTAAATCTGATTTTTTTTTTTTTTTTTTTTTTTAAATCAACAAGCCAAAACCTCCATTTTAAAATAATTGATTGTAAACCTCATTGCATATTGTGTTTCCTAAAAAAAAAGGATATTTTCATGTGTTGATATATAACAATTTAAATATGTTAACTTACAACTAAATATACTTATTACAGTGGATTTGGTACATAATGTTTCTTAGTTACACAAACGAGATATATATTTTAAATAAACGTCTATATAGCTTAGCATATTTGGATTGTTAAAAAAACTACCTTTTTAGTATGCCATAATGGTGAAACTGTTTCTTAATCTCTAGATTAACTCTTTTGCTTGTATTTGTATCCAGCTGCAATAAGATGGCAACTTGAATTTAAGTAGACACACAGAGCCAGCACTTCAAATTTTATTTAACAAAGCTTTAATGTTTTTGGTTATAGAACCCCCCCCTCTTTTTAATCAAAACATGGTGCACATTTTACAGCCAACTAACTTATTATTACAGTTAACATTAGTGTTTAATATTAGAAATATGAAGTGAGTTTAGTGAATTAAACCAATTATGTCAGTCACCTGGAGGAAGTTCTTCCTTGGTGAATTCTTTGGGGGGGGGGTTTAAGCTAGGCATTTTAGAAAAATTTTACCCACTTTATTTCAAGTTTTTAGAAGTTATAAACTTCATCCTCATTCACTTTTTTTTTTTTTTTTAAACTCCCAGTCATTTTTTCTCAGCTTTGAATGCAGAATTTCTAGAAAATATTCCCAAATGAGGGTCTTTTTTGCAGCCTGCTGCCATGGCAGGTTTTCCTCCAGTTTCTAGGTGTTGAAATCAAGACTAATCTATGCTCCACAGAACACTGTTCCTCCTTTTTCCTGTTATGTCTTGAGCCAACATCATTGGTCTTCTTATGCGCGTTCGCTCTTACTCTCTCGTGCGCTGTCTCTTCACGCGCACAAGAAACTAATGAATGAAGACTTTCTCCCTGTGACGTAACTCAGCTTGGCAGAATTCAATTTTTACTTTTAACAGTTTCAACGGGTAATATTGGTGTTTGTTTTTATATCAATTTTAAGTTTTCAGGATTGTGCAAAATTAGGGGACAGACAATTTATTACAGACAGTAGTGTTAAAAGCTTTATAAAATCGTATGTCAAAATATAAAGAGTTAATATCCATAAATCATACCTGCTTTAAATCATTCTGTTCAGTTGTTGGTACTTCTTCCTTTGTTGCCAGTCCCCTAGGTTTCTGGGAGTTGCAGTCCAGACCATAGTCAGCACAGTTCTGCAGGACTGTTCCCCCTGTTATCACATGCTCCATCAATTTTCTCATGTCTCCTTCTATACATTTTGATTTATTCATGGAACTATTTTTTTTGTCCATCTGAGTGTGAGGTGAATTCAACATTTTCATCAGTGTTTACCAATAAAAATTGAATCCTGCCAAGACATAACCCACAATGCCTCCTCCTCCCTCTCTCTTTTCTACCCCCCCCCCCATCCATGATTTTTCTGATGCTTTGAGGGCTGCATTCGATCCAAATAATATTTAGTGTTACAAATTGAATTCATCTGACAAGTCTTGTGTGTGTTGCACAATAACTTTTTTGGTTTCATAGGGAAATCATCTAACACACTTGAATTGTCTCGAAATAAGCGGAGTCTGGACAAAGTTCCAGCAACAATATGGTGATCCAGTTTGGGTTCACAACTTTGGATTTGTTTTAATCAACTTCTAGTTAACAGAGTAGAAATGAGAGCCATTAAGGTGGGAATTGGGTAGAGAGACAGGGAGGTCATTCCACATATTTTTTTTCCAGGCTACCCTACATATGAAGACCTTCACCAATATGTGGATTTCTATGAGACCTGTGCAATCACGATTTGAGTAGGTCTCCGCCCATAGGACAGCTGCTTGAATCTCTTGGAAGAAGTACTGGCCATAGCTGCTTTCATAAGTATTCCTCTATACTTCCCAGGGCAGGGTGACACCTTTACAGACTAACACATTCGGAAGCAAGGCCTTTTGTATGCTGTTACTTCATTGGATGCTATGACCAGACTTGCGGAGGGCCAGCGTGTTGCACAGAAAGGAATAGAGAGAGTTAGCTGGGATTGCCTGAAGTTGGGGAGAAGGCTGGGTAGAGTTGTACTTCATAGACTCATTCAGAGATGTATAAATCTTTCACAAACAACAGCTCATTAAGCTGAATTCATCTGTAAGGTGCTGCTCTACCCGGCCTTCTGCCAGAAGGGAATACATTTATTTAAATACAAAGGGGAGGGAAGGAGGGAGGCAAAGAAGAGTTAAGGGGATCAAAGAGGATAAATAAAACACTTGTCCCATTGAGGGACATGGATGTTAATATGTTGTATATCTGTTTACTTCCTGGTAAAGGCACTGCAGTCGATTAGCAGAATGGTGCTCTTCTGAGCAGATGCCAGGTGTTTGGCCAGAGTGATTTATGACTAGAGTAGAAAGAAGGGACTGATCTGTATACACAAAGCTAGTGGATGCTCAAGAACTGTGGAAATGAAGGAGCATCTTCCAAATGATCAAACAGCAGGGCTGGAGTCTAAGTGCAAAGAACTGGATGTTGATGAGAGGAATACTTGTTGGTGGAGTGGATGATTTCCAGTAGCTGAGAAGTTTGTGGACTTGAGGACCAAAGGAGAGCTTCATTAGAGTGGCATGTTCAGGCTTTTCACAAAGGAAGCTCCAGGGAACTAGGAATCTTGCCGTTGCCCCAGTGTTGTGGGCTTGATCTCTGGAGCAATAAACGAGACTTCCCAATCTCTGGCTGACCATGGAAAAGGTCTGTTCAGTATTTCAGTGCACAGATTGTGCAGTTTCCATTGACTGAGGGTATGGCTACTTCCCTCTGTACACTGAAGAGGCGGGCTGTTTGGTGGCTCCATGTACATGAAGATTCATGATTCTTACCCTTTTTGTAAGCCTGGATTCTTGCTGTCTCCAGAGAACGAGGTTTCATGCTTTGTTAAAGAACTAGGTTTTGAATACATCAGCAGATAAAATATTTTTATTCTACGGTTTCTTATGGCTTGCTTATCGCACATACAGAAAAACCTCTTCAATATTATGTTAGATCCTCTTCAAATCCTACCCCCTCCCCGCAAAAAATATATTTTTGCATTGCTGTATCTTAAATATGAGCTTGAGGTTCAAAGTGTTAAAGCGACCAGTTACACTTCATGTTGCTAAAGAGCAAAAATGCTTCATATAGACCAGGGATGTTTACTTAAAACTAAACTTGTATTTGGAAAGGAAGTCTCTGAACAATACTATCTTTTTTTGGCTGTATGTAGAAAACAAGGTCCAAAAAAAGCTTTTGAAAGAGGTTTTTAAGTAATCCTTCCTTCCCATCCCCAGGGGAGAAAACTTGTAACAATCAACAAGGTTTAATGAGAGCATTCATTTATCTTTAGACTGGATATCAAGATGTACTACTATACAAGACAGGTCTTGGTACTTACAGGGTGTTGAGTCGCTTTTTCTTGCTAATTTATATATGGCATCTGAGAAATCGCACCTTTGTATGCAAAGCGTTCTCTTTGTGCGTTAGGACTTTGCAGGTGTGTGAGGGTTTTAATATTTTCACAAGGAGTTTATAGCCCCAAAGTATAGCAGTCATGCTAGGAAAACCACTCTGACGTGATTGCCCATATGTAAATCAATACTTCGTTTGCTATGACGTATACAAAAGCCTGCAACTATTCTTCTCTAGCTATTGCATTTTATTAGAGGTTCCCCTCTTTTAAATAGGAAAAAAATGATAGGAAATCACTTGTTTATCAGTAAAACATACCAAAATATATTCTTCAAAGGCTAACAAATGTTTACTTTTTTTTTCCTTTATGAATGCTATAATGTATGTGTTCAAACCTTTGTATGTATATTAAAAAAAAGTTTATCTACAAAACTGGAATGACTGTAGTAAAGGTATTTAGTTATGCAGCATTTGTAATTCTGTGGGGGAAGAAAAATGCAGGCAATTGCGCTTTAAATTTCAATTTCTTGTCCTTTTATTTTTATTCTAAAAGTTTAGATAAAGTCCTTTTGAATTAATTAATTGCCTTTCCACTTCTGAATTACTGCAATATGAATTATGTGAAGTATCTGAAAGACTTCAGGTTGTATGGCTGTGCTCAGCTTCAGAAGTTTACCACTTTTAAATGGAACATGGGATTTTTGTCATTAGATGCTCAACTAAATTTATCACTTATTTGTCATTTTATTACATGCATGTACAGGGAAACTTCTGTATCTAAATTAATGAAATGCTTAAGGTTTATGCCGATTGTCTTTTCAACGCCATACAGCTTTACATGGTGTGAATCTTTTTTTTTTTTCTCTGATTAATTTCAGTACTCATCTGAGAAGCTGAACAAAAGTGGCAGCTTGTTCCCTTTTGAAATCAATGGTAAGTTCTTGTGAAACGGTAGCTGTGGTTTACTGAGGTAATTGGTATAGTAAGCAGCCTTTCTGTTGTAAATAAGGTGGAGGGGAATGGAGCATGCTGTTGTGGAGCCTGCTGGCTTAAGCTGGTCTTTGAACAATACTGGGAATCGCTGGTTGTTAGTTTTTTGTACTTGTGATCTGCTTTGCATAGTAAAAAGCCCTTGTTACATGTTTTTGTTCAGTAACTGTTGTTATGTACAAATGCACAGCAACTGCTGTGTGCGTCGTCTTCCCCTCCCCCCCCAAAAAACCCCCCAAAAACCAAAACCCCCTTTTTCTTATCGGGTTTTCTTTGCTAACAGAAAACTACACATCTCTACCTCTTCACACACCTTCATAAAAGTAGGCCGTTGCAATATAGAATATCTAGCCCTACAGTATTTAGCATAAGGCAAAGAATAAAATATATAATAGCTTGATAGAGGGAGAAAAGGAACCCTCCACCACTGTTCGTCCTTACTCATTTCCTCTTGTTATAACAAAAATAGGAATATCTTTTTATTGCCAAGTAATGTAGGCTTTACTTCTGATTTATTGATGGGAAAGGGGAGTTGAGATTATGCATCAGCTGTTTCATATTTTAATAAGCCATGGTAGATTTTTATTTACTCAAATGGGTTGTCTCCTGAGATGTGAATTTGTGTTTCCATGAGGTTGCCAGAGGGGACTGCAGTGTCTCAGTCTTGCAGTACCATACACAAAGAACATAGTCACAGCACTTTTTGCAACCCTTGAGCAGTAGTAATTTTTCTCTTAAGACCCCTTTTTAAAGCAGCTTCAACCACTAAAATCAGGCTAGTAAATGCTAAAAAAACTGGAATTACAGTATTGTCTAAAAGCTCTAGGCAGGATGGTACCCCATTGTGTTAAGTGTTTTGCTCGCTGAATTAAAGATGGTCCCTGCCTTGAAGAGCTTACAGTCGTATTAAGACTCAGCACAATGTGTGGTTGTACCCATCTGAGAGAATGAAGCACAAAGGAATTCTAATAAAACACATATTTGCATCGGCCAGCTGTCAGCACATTCTGCTTTTTAGTTGCATTATTTTTAAATAAGATCTGAATAAACAGGACAATTACTGGAAGACCCTCCTGGCTAGGGAGCAGATTCATCTTGAAGCTGTTTGGTTTGCAACTCTTGGAGTCTTCTCTGGAATTAAAAAAAAAAAAACAAACAAAACAAACAAACAAAAAAAACCAAAAACAAACAAAAAAACAAACAATTTTTTTTAGATTATATTTAACTGCTTGCAGAAGGAAACATTCAAAATAGAGTGAACCTTTAACATTTTCCCTCCACTTAACTAGAGTAAGTGCTGCCTATTTCTGCTTACCTAATGATTTTTTTTCTTTTTTTGCATGCATACATGCACACACACAATGGAGAAAGGAGAGGAAAAAATATGTATTTTTCTCCATTACTCTGTCCCGAGGAATAGTGAAATTTACTTGGATAATTGGTTTAAATTAGCAAATTTTCTAACCAAGCATGAAGAGCTGTTAACTAGCCACCAGGACAAAGATCTGCTTTTCAATTTGCAAATCCTGGGCCTCTGTTGTAGTTCCTCTTACACTTCACTGTATAATGTAGGGGAACAGCTGTAAAATGTGCAAAATGTTCTCAAAGAAAAGCTACACAAAAGAGTGTGAAGCTTGGCTGGTAGACTTTTTTTTTTTTTTTTTTCTTCAACTCGGCATTGCCACTTGAGATAAGAAGTTGTACATTATGGGCTATGCCTGTATTCACAGTAAAATTTGTATGAGGTTCTTAAAGTGTAAAATAAGGGGAATGTTGGCCTTTAATTTAGGGCTTTCAAAGGGGTTTTTTATGTAGTAGATGTGAGTGGGAGGGACAAAATGTTCTCAGAAAAACAATCTTAACTAACATTTGCTAAAATAAGCATCTCCCTACTCTTTTAAAAATAAAGCTTATTTTGCACTATAAAAGAACGAGCACTCATCACTTAAGGCGTTTTACGTGTGTTCTGGACACGCGTTCTAGGAGTGTGGTGGTGGGGGGCATACTTTAATTGGAGCTGCTCTGAGGCCTGCTCTAATTAAAGCACCTGCAGTGTCTTAAGCATCAGTGTCCCCATGCTTAAAAATGGTGGCGGAGGCACTTTATCTAAAGCTCAAACGAGCTTTAAAGTGCCCCTGCCACCATTTTGAAGCACGGGGATGCTGATACAGGAGACATGGAGGCCAGCTGGAGCATGCTAATTAGCATGCTTCAGCAGACTCTAATTGGGTCTGTTCCAATGTGCTGTAATTACAGTGTGTTGGAGCAGCCTCCTTGCATGTCTACGGGCACCCTTAAAGTTTAGGTTTTGTAATGTGGGGATGCTGTATGTGTTTCCTTCACAAAACGTAAACTTTTTGGTTTCATGCATATAGGAAATAATATTGTTAATGATGGATGACAGGTCTTTGGATATTATGGTTAAAGGAAATATTACACTGAGCTGTTGTGAATTTAAAAAAAAAAAAAAAAAAAGACTACCAATTTTTTTACAGTATTTATGGTGATCCAGTGCTCCTGGTCTGAGCTTGTAAGCTCTGGAGCCTCAGATGAAAGTGGCCCCTCTTGCTTTATTAATATAAGTGTTTTAATATTAAGGTTTTTCTTGTTCAAGATGGCAAATGCTATGCTGGGAGATGATAATGTTGTAAGTGAAATTGTTTGTTGCTTCTAACATGCAAAAAAAGAAAAATCCTATGAGATTGCATGGCCTGGCTATTTGGATACAGATGCTTTTCAATTTTTTACTTGACAATCTCTAAGGTGGCATACCCTTTTTAAGCCTGCTCTTAGAATTCTAGGAAAAACTCATCTTCACAATTAATGCCCGGCATTTTAAATTTGTGTTTTTGGGGTGTTTTTTAATTGATTACATCAATTACTTTGATCTAACTCCTCTTCCCACCCCTCTCCCTTATGCCTTTTTTTCTCTTTCAGAAGAAAGTCCTTGGAAAGCTTTAAATGGGGGTTGTCCAATCCGAGCTGAAGTGACCAAGCATTCAGCTTACCCTTTCCCAGTGTGTCCATTTAGTACTACAACTACTAATGTGGGTCTACAATGGCAGCAGGAATCTTCCAGCACATCAATGGTGTCAGGCTGGATAAGTGAATTAAACCTTAATGAGAACTCGGGGCAGCCATTGGCACCACCAACCAAGCGCCACTGCAGGTCACTCTCTGAGCCAGATGAGTTGGCCCGCTGTCGGTCACCGTGGAAGCCTGGCAGTTCAAAGGTCTGGACTCCTGTATCAAAGAGACGGTGCAACAGTGGTGGTAGTGCCACTTTGCAGCGCTGCAATAGTCATGGGAGTGCAACTTTACAGAGAAGCACAAGTATCAGCCTGCCACAAAATGTACTGTCATTAAATAATGTCTTCACTATCACCAGCTTCAACACGTCGCCAGTTCCCAGACCTTCCTCCGCGAGCAGTGGCTTTGTGGACAGTAGCGAGGGAAGCACAAGTTCAAGTACCCGTTGGAATTCGGGAGGGCCTTGCGACTTTAACCCAAGGCGTCGCCTCTCGCTCTCACAGGAGCACATCACCGAGACGGGAAACCTCTTGCCTTCGGCAAACAGCACTCCCACCTCCACACCCGAGCTCAGCCGGCGTCAGGGCTTGCTGAGATGTCGCTCCCAGCCTTGTGTCCTGAATGAAAAGAAAAGCCGGCTAAAGCGCAGACGAGAGGAGGATGTACGGTGGAATCGCCCGTCGTTAGACTTTTTTAAAATGACACGGGTGAGATTTTATTTTCTTCAGCAGGGCATGGGAAAACATTTATTACGTAAAAGCTATTCCTAGAAGAGACAGCTAAAACAAGCTTTGTTTTTGTGGGTGTTCAAGCCATATTAGTCGCTGTTAATGCTGACTTCTATCATTCCAGAAGGTACAACTGTGCTTCACGTACCTGACACTTTCATGCCTGAAATGGTGCTCTGATGTCCAGTATAGAAAGCTGCATAAAACTGCTTCCAAATGTTGGAACGGAAGGTGTTGTTTTTTTTAAATGCTAGGTGAACTTTAGGAAGCCAAAAAAACTTTCAATCAAATAAGCTTGTTCCCACGAGGTAGGGTAATGTGTATATAGTACAATATTCTACTTCGATGGAAATGTCTCCTTCGGCTTAAACCTCCACATATGGCTTTCATCATTTTGTAATTTGGAGTGAGCCAAACTATATATTTTTGGCCTGTTGCATCTGCACAAGTACATGTGCATTAACAAAACTTATACATGAATGTAACTAAGGGAACTGATGACAGACAGTAATGGAAATAGATGTACTCTTTATATAGCAGCTCCAAATGGTGTCCTGGGTTACTAGAAAAATGTATGTTTTTAAATCAGTTGATCAAAAATCTGTTTCCTCACTTGGTTGAGAGTGAGATTTTTTTTCTTTTCTTCTGAGTAAAATAGGTTTGTGTCCTTTTTGTAGGCTAGTGAAAAAGTGCCCTTTATGCAAGGGTAGGCAGTGTCCCTAATTTTAGAAAGTTGATTAAAGTGAACCAATTTCTGCTGAAGCAAAAAATAGAAGTTTACTTCTCAGCATTGATGGAAATAATATTGAGTCCTATCACTTCAGTCCTATAGGCAGTGCTGCACCTGAGGGTATCCCTGGCTTACCTTCACACCACAGTCTGTAATAATAACTTCTGTAACTTACTTGTTACTGGGTTTAGAAGGCTCATGCATTTGGTCCACCTAATTAAAGCCGACATTGGTAGCATAATGAGGAGGGGACAACTGGAGATAGTGGTAAGGATAGATAAGCTGAGAAATGATGTGCATTAGGACTGGTGTACTTAATTTCTCAAATAAGGTGAATACAGATGGCTTGGGGATATTTTTGGCCAACTCATGGCACCCATTTATTGGTGACTTTTAGATATACAGCTGGAGAAGTCTAAGAGGCTGGGGATGGGCTGCAACTCGTAGATGTCTTGGAAGTCCTTATTTTTACGTACACGTGTGTACGCATATGTGAAATATTTTATATAAATAAAAAATAATACTATAATTAAAATGATATAAATAAATAAAAAGGTCTGATATATATAAAAGGTCTAGCTATAGGTACAAAGGTCTGATCACGCTAGTGGAGGCCAGTATCGCTATATGGGGGGGGGGGGGGGGACAACCAAAAAAAACCCCCCAACAAAAACAGCTTTTTTATCACTTTTTAAAGGGTCAGTAGGTACGGAGGCGCATGTATCACTTGCATGCATGCACACACCCCCACTCCTCTCTTGAAAATGTCCAGTTTTTTTCTCCATATACTAGCTTCCCCCAGAATAACCAGACCCTTGCAATAAGTAATAAACTTACAATTAATTGCTTGTTTTATAAGGGTAACAAATTGTGGCTTTTTTTAAAGCCACAATTTAAAAGTTTTTAAGAGTTTATCTTAGATTTTCATTTGTTTGTGTTGCAGAGAGCAATATAAATGCATGGATTAAAGTGTTAAAGGGATTTTTTTGGGTTTTTTTTTTTTTTGGCAATCTTTAGTTCTTGGGTCTGAACTTCAGTCACTTTTCAAGGGCTAGGTGATTGACACTTTCAGAAAATTGGGCCTTTTGAGGTCCCCTGAGGTAGGTAACTCAAAGTGAGACTTACAAAATAATTAGTCTTTTTTCTTTTTTCTTTTTTTGAATATCTTACTTGTAATACAAACCCCACAGAGAGAAACCTTGTAAGCAATAAACCTAATAGCAGTCTCATACTTAATTTCCACTTATCAAGCAGCATAGATTCTTGGCAATCACACTCCTTTGATAAAACTACAAGTTAGATAATCAATCAGTTGGCATGCCTTGTTGAACTACTGAAATGTGTTGAATGCCTAATACATTGAGTTAGCAGCAAGTAAAGAAAGTGGAGGGGTGTATGTGTTAAAGCAACTAAATATATTGGTTACCTACAGGAGGGATGTGAAACAAGTGGCCGGCAGGCCAGATTTGATCTGTGGAGCCCTGTGATTTGGCCCTTGGATCTGGCACACGGAGCTGGCCTGGTTGGTCTGGACCAGCCCTTGAGCTAGCATGCAGAGGTGGACCAGTGGGGTGCTTTATGCAGTACATGGCCTGTCCTGGCCTCATGAACCACATGCAAACCAAGCCCCAAGGTGGGGCTGGCACATGCTGAATGTGGCATGCAGGGCTGAACTTCCCATGCACATGACGGAGCTAGCTCAGGGTGTGCATTGCATGCATCACTTTGATGGATACATCACAGTATGCTCTGGCTTCAGCATGGCCTGATCAGGCCCACAGATGGGGCCAGGCTGAGTTTCGTACCCTGGCTTAGAGCATGAGCTAGGCACCTTTGACATTTTGTATTGATTTGGAAATACTTGAGTTTGCTAGTTGAGTGACCAAATATTGCCTTCTATTAAGGCTAATCTCGGCTAAAGCTGGATGGGGTGGGTGCAGAAATATTCGTATAATTGCTTTTCAACTACCAATTTTAAAATTTTTTTTAAGTTCTCATTTTATTGAAATTTGTATACATTTTATTGCTATGATCTGGGCTAGATTTGAAGTTTAAAATGGATTTAATTTGTTTCCTGCAGTATTTTAAATAGACTGGCAAACATTATAGTCGTAGTTGTTCAGTTCTCGCTACTTTGTATTCTTCAGCCTAGTTATAGTTCTGGTGCTGGATCGCTTTCTGTAGCGTACCTTTTTGAGGTATTTAGATTCCCCATTTCTTTCAAATCTGTGGGACTGCTGTGCTAGAATAGGGGTCAGTAACTTTTTGGGGTTTGTTTGTTTGTTTGTTTTTTGCTGGAGTGCCAAGAACACCCCAGCCTCCACCCATGCCGTGACTTGGCTTGCCCCAGAAGTGGGCGAGCTGTGAAGGGCCCGATCCTCATTGCTGGCAGTGGCTGCACATGCCTCTGGGTGGATGGTGGGAAAGGGGCTGGGGTTGCAGTGTCTCTAGACCCACATCCCATGAGATGCGCATGCACCCACTGCTGCCACAGAGCCAGAGTTGTTCTGGAGCCTGGCGCAGCTGTCTGCAGCCTGCCTGCTGCAGGTGCCTAGAGCCTGGGCCAGCTGTGTCAGGCATCCAGGAGGCTGCAAACAGCTGAGCTAGGCTTTGCAGCCCCAGCCAGACACTGTGGGTAGTGGCATCTGCACATGCGCCTCTGGGCATATGGTCAGGAAAGGATCTAGGGCAGCACAATCCTGGCCTTTTTCCCCACTGTTTGCCCCCAAGTGTGCCACCACCACGGAGCCAGTGCCAGGGCTGCAGAGCCCGGTGCAGCTCTTTACAGCCTCCTGCCTGCAGCTAGCCCAAGGCTCTGGACAGCTTTTGCCTGCCATGTAGCCTGGAGCCCAGGCCAGCTGTGATGTGCCAAGGAAAATGGCTTTGCATGCCATGCTCTGGCAGGCATGCCAGGGGTTGCCTCCCTGTGCTAGAGGCTCTGCTATACATTTTTTGGCTGAAAGACCTTTTGATATTGAAAACACTTTACAATGGGATGACAGCCCCACCCTCCATAGGGAGTTTTGGTGAGTTGTTGCAGAGGTGGTGCTGACCCAGCCTGCAACAGCTCATTAAAACTTATGTGGCCCTCAGTCCCAAATAATTGCCTACCCCTGCTTTGCAGGCACTAAGGTGTGTTAGCTAAAGGGCACAAAGTGTAAATCTTTAGTTCATTTAGAAGATGTGTGTAACTTTACTTAAGTAAACACATTAAAAAAAAATACTAAAGCAGCAGTCATTTTGAGTCAGTTAGCTTTTTGTACCAAATGAATCTGGAGTTTTCTTTTTCCAGAAAATCTTACTGATTGTAATGCCAATTTAATACATCACGCTACAATTTAATCCTGGGGTTAAATAATGACTGCCTAATGTATTTTGTTGTATGAAACTCTTGTACTGCTGCTGTCTGTATTTCAACTGAAATTATTTTTCAAAATGGTTATTGCAAAAAATAAACTTGTTAGAAACTATGCAAAAGAGGATTTTTATTTGAGGTAAGGCTATAGATCCTAATCTGGCAGTGAGTACCATATTGTAGCCTTCTGTGTCTCCACAGAGCTCATCTGAGGATTGGGATCCGAGGACTGGCTCTCTTTTGTGCCTTCATTTATTGCAATAGTCTGGCTTGGATGCTGCCTCAGTAGGTGCAGCATCCTTTGCCTTCATTAAAGCTGTACACTTAGTAATACATGGTTTGGCATTTTCCAAAATATAAATGGACTGTGAAATCAAGTGTTTTAAGCTTTAGTGCATATTTTGTAGGTGAAGTTACTCTAAATGACTTTTGATTACTTAGTCATTTTAAGCTCTTCATTTAGGGCACAAAATATGCTAATTCTTGGCAGAGGTCTATGGCAGGCCAGTGACGGCAATAACTTACACTGATTTTTGTAAACACAACAAATGTATTCATCAGGCTAACTCAAGTTTATTAGCTTTCTTGAGTTGTAGAAAACCCCCTTTTGGCATTCTTGGTTTACTTTAATAATACTGTAGCCAAGCCATGTAAGGTTTATGTCAAAATGGACAGTCTTGGTCTTGATCAAAAATTTTGGAGCAGTTTCTTATACAGTTCTATAATGTTGTGAGAGCAGTTTCCACACCGAAGGCTGAGAGCACCTGCCTGTGTGTGTGTGTGTGTTTGTTTGTTTTTCCTCAACTTAATGTTTCCCAGCCAGTGGTTCAGTTTTTATGTAATCAAGTACTGATCTACTAAATGTTTAAATGAGTGTTGTATATAGTATAGAAT